ATTTCAGTGCAAGTAGAGGACTTAGACAGGGTGATCCATTATCCCTGTTGTTGTTTTCCATTTGTATAGAGGGACATGAGGCAGTGGGAATTTGGAGACCATTTGGTGCATTTGGACTCTCAATTTCTAGACCCAATTCGAGTACTCTCTGATCGTGTTTTCTCTTGTAGAATGGTACAAGCTTTGAGGGTAAAGATTTTTAAGCAGGGAGGGCCTGATGTGATCTTGATTTATGACCTAAATTGTGTCCCATTGAAGTGCACAAAACGAATCAAAACATGGGATGAAGAAAGGAAGGAAACTGTATTTTTGGCTAAGTATGACAACCATTTTGGGGTACCTACTTTGTAGCCTTATTCGACTCATTTGAGGGACAGCGAGGACACCTGCGAGTTAGAATTCGAAGTCCAAGACTTGTTGAAGAATGTACTAGAGTTGATTGAGCTCGACTTACTTGGAAGCCTTCGAACGAAAAGCTCAAAGTAGCTATGGCAGCTTGCTGGATTACTTGCGCAAGAAGTCACTTTCTTGTTTAAGAAGAAACTAAGTGTGGCAAAGTTCTTTTCCTTGTTATGTTTGGATTCTTTTACCATTTCAGTAGCTTAATTAGTTATGTGTTTCCTAGTTAGTTTTGTAGTCAAATTAGGTTTGTTTTTGTTCTATACAGAGGCCTTCACAACCTCGTTGTAATGAATTCAAGTTCATTCAAAATTATTCCTTGGTTCATTGAGTTTTCTGCTCGTGAATTTTGACTTGCCAATTGGTAAATTCCAGTTCCTACTCCTTCTTTGTATCATTCAAGCAATCATCTTGAATATGGGGGAGATACTACCAATGATATTGCATGAGCCTCTTTCCAACTTGTGTTGAAGTTGCATGTCAATCCTTCCACCCAAACACCACACCCTGTTTTGCTTCGAGACACCCTTTCATCGATCAATCTCTTGATTGATCTAGGTTGCATGAGTTTGATCAGTGAGACCTCGAGGTTTGGGTCATATCAGCGGGTAAAGAGGTCATGCTGAAAGGAGTGGCAAATTCTCTCCCCATTCATGGCGTGCCTGTTTTTGGCTGCCTTCCACTCCCTATCGTGATTTGGATAGACATCTTATGCATTTATAGTGGGGAGCTAAACAAGATGAGAGACGGATCCATTGGGTGGCTTGGAAGGCCCTAAGCGTGAGTAAGGCAGAAGGGGGAATGGGGTTCTGCAGGTTTGAGGAATTTAATCTGGCCTTTGCCAAGATTGCGTGGTGGCTTCTGAAAGAACCCAATTCGTTGTTAGCACGTATTTATGAGGGGAAGTATTTTACGAATCGTTTCTTTCTTCATGATGGTTCTGATTCCTTACCTTCTTGAGGGTGGTGTGGTAATCTTCATGGTCGGGCATTGCTTCAGCAGGAGCTCCGATGGTAGGTCGAAAATGGCGAGAGTATTTTCCTATCTACATCGGACTGGGTTCCTGTGTAGCATCTGAATCCTCCTTGTTTTCGACAGGATGTAAGAAGAGTTCGAGGAACGATTTCTTCTCCTATCTCGCGGGTACCGAAGGATGGAATGGGGAACATATTTGGTTGTTGTTTCTAGGTGAGGTAGTTCCAAAAATATTTGTTATTCCACTTCCTCTGATTCCTATCCCGGATAAATTAGTGTGGCATCGTGAGGCGTCTGGGGATTATTCGATTAAGTCAAGATATCACTTGGCCACCCAGCTTAGAAAGGGGTGTGGGCCCTCTTTCAAGCAGGATGTCAAGCCGTGGGATAAAAAGTAATGGGGAAGGATTTGGAGTACTCTTGTTCCACCTATGTTGAGATATTTTCTTTGGCAAATAATTAGGCGAGTTCTTCATACTAGCGAGGCCCTGTCTTTTCATGGTGTCATGGGTGTGGCTTTTTGCCCGGTTGTTTTGGGGGAGGTGGAGTCCTTGGACCATTTATTATTTTTATATTTTTCGTCCTAGGGAGCTTTGGGATGCCTCGAGCCTTTAAACACTTAGGACGAGTCTCCTAGTGGGAGTGTGGAGATATTTTGGAGATGGTAGTTTGATAAGGATGGTCATTGCAAGGTGATAAAAACAGGATGAATTTACTAGAAGCAAAAGTCCAGGATGAATTAGTTGCAAGAATGTGACAAAAACACATCTTATTTCCATATGGTCACTCAAACGTGGAAATGAAGGAATTTTATTCCGGGCTTGTTCATGGAGGAAGGGGATTGGGTGATGAGAGAGGAAGAGAAATCGGCGGTGGCTTGTGATTTTTATGGCTCTCTCTTTACTACCAAGGCTGGTGATGTATAATCTATGCCGAAATAGGTTGTTCGGCTTCCAACTGAGAGAAAAGGCACACCTATAATGAACAAGAAGCTAGTAGGTCGAGTTTCCCCTTAGGAAATTAGAAGATTATCTTTGCAAATTGGCATCCACCAATCCTCGTGGTCTGATGGATTAACTTGAATTTTCTTCAGGAATTTTTGGGACAGTGTGGGAGAAGATGTGATATCAGTTGTCTCCCATTTCTTTTTGACAGGGTCAATGCTTAAGAATTTTAATCATACCTTGCTGACTTTGGTACCAAAGGTGGACTAGGTTGAGCATACGAAGCACATTCAGCAGATAGGTCTTTGCCAGTTTGTGTTTAAAATTATTGCTAAAATATTAGCGGAAAGATTAGCGAGATATGTCCCTGCGATTGCATCGCCTGGGAAAAATGGCTTAATTCGCAGTAAACAAATTGTGGATAATGTGCTCATTAGTCATGAGGTAATGCATTAGTTACAGAATAAAAGGACAGATACACTGCTCATTACCTCATAAAAGAACAGGTCTACCATTTATCATAACCAAAAAGGTTGATGTCATGACACAAGCTCAAGAATAAAAATGGCATACCTCTAAAGTTTCGAACGTCATCTGCAAGATCGTTTGGAGCCTAGAACTTTGTCTTGCACCACAAGCAAACTGCTTCCTTACGGCACTAGGATTTCTATTTTTTGTTAGTTTTGAGTATGATTTCCTAGTTCCATTGTACTTAGGAAATCTTTTGTAGTTGATATCTTTGTTAAGTTCTATTTAAAGCTTATTCTATTACATTGTAATTCAGATTTTGTTGATTGAGTACAAACCTTTGAGTTTTCGTTCATTAAGCTTTGCTTTATGAATTGTTTGAGTTGCTTAGTGGATTCTGAGTTGCTTGAGTGCATGTATCGATCAATTTGACACATTAATCTTTGTCTGGCTTCTACCTATACTGCTCAAGCCTTCTTCCTTATGAAAGATTGCACGAAAGTTCCATCCCAAAACACTTAAACACATACCCTGTTTTGTTCAAGTTTCAATTCGACTATTAGATTTGAAGAACTGCGTGAGTCTAATCATTGAAACCCAAGTTAGGGCTCATCAGTGGCATCAGAGCCTGGTTCAAACACAATGATGCGTCCCAAAACTCGAGGATCAGTTTCCTCGAGGAGAAGGTCTGAAGACCCCATCTCACGTCGCAAACCTGAGGAGGAATCTGATTATGAGGAAGAGCCTCAATTCAAAGATCAAACAATGGGGGATCATCCCATTAACATCACTGAATTGTTGCAAACAATCATGCGCAGTAAACGCCCCATTAGAGGCACAATTCGTGCAAATAAATTGCCAATTGGCCGAGCTAAAGACGGCGACAAACAACCCTGTTCCACCGGGAAATTTAACAGGGAAAGCTGAAATTCCGGGTTAATTGCATGGTTGGTCACTGAAATTACAAAAAACGTTTATGTTTGGTCACTGAAAATATTTAAATCCAGTCTTGGTCACTCAAATTAGTTAAATGATTCAAATTTGGTCACTCTCCGTCTATTTTCCGTTAACTCCAGTTTACGTGGCAGTCAACTTTCATAGTTGACCGTTAAATACGTGACGTGGCAATTAAAAAATTATTAAAAATAAAAAAATAAACTTTTATATTTTCCACTTCATTATTACCTTCATTAAAAAATAAAAAAATAAAAAACAATCAGAATGATATTAGCCCTAATGAAATTTCGCGAGTCTCCGCCGGCCGCTAGATAGTAGCTACTAGCTAGTCTTCGGATCTCCCAAACACCGCCGACTCGTTGTCGACCCCAACAGCTACTATTTGTCCCGGCTATCCCCAAACGCCGCCGAGTACTTTCCGGCCGGGGATTTTCTTCAACTTTCAATTGAGCGGTTCCTCCGCCTCACTGCTCTCGTCGACCCTGAATCTGCCGGTTTCACTCGTCCTGACCTCTCAGGCATATTGTTATTCGCCAGCAGGATTCACGCCGTTCAGTTACAATCAGCCAACTTTTGGCGAAGAACTTGCGGTTTCACTCTCTAAAGCACGAGCGGCAGCTGCAAGCACACGGGCTGGTTGATATTCGGGAGTTGATGGAGTTTCCTAGATCGAAGATGGTGGTTGTTGAATGATATTGCTGGCAACATTCGAGGAAGACGAAGTGGTTTAAGGAAAGGGGGAAGAGAGGATCGGTGGTGTTTATGGGTTCTTAGTGGTGATCGGTGGTGTTTAGACGTTTTTGTCGATGCTATCGGATCTGATCGAAGCGAACGAGATCTCGAAATCGATCGATCGCAACCCATTCAGGAAGAAGGTGATTAGGTGAATCGCTATTCCTTTTCCTCTTCGTATTCATCTTCATCTTCTCTCTAAAGTCTGTTATCCCCAATTTTCACGAACCCTAAAAATCCTCCAACCCCAGCTCAATTACACTGGTCGTGTGCTCCGAAGCAAGCCAAGGCTTCCTCCAAATTCTCATCCGCTGCCGGGGCTGAGAAGGAATAAGATCGAGGACCTTTACTCTATCTAGCTCGTGGATCAGAGAAGAGAAACACCCCCGCCGGTTATCAAATTCTATCCTTTACGACTGTGGGTGAAAGTTCGTTCTTTTTTCATATATGACCTATTCGACCCTTGCTTGTTCATATATGACCAAAATTCTTTGTCTGTATCTAGGGGAAGAAAGGGTTTCAAGCATGGAGCAGTACGAGGTAATAAAACAGATTGGGCGCGGGACATACAACACCGCTACTCTTGTGAGGCACAGGCTCGAAAACAAAGAGTGAGGATCGACGAAACCTAATTTTTTTCTTAGTTACCTTCCCTTATTTCTCTCGATTGTCAGTTGTTCCTGTTCCGATACAATAATTTCTACAGTGTCTTCAGTGTGTCTACTTCCATTTACAGCTGATCCCGTTCTTCCAACAGGTCACCGGAATCAACGTCATCGCCTTCTACGCTCCCCTGCTCTTCCGAACAATCGGAATGGGAGAGAGCGCTTCTCTGATGTCAGCCATCCTCATCGGCGCCGTCGGGATCGGGACGGCGTTCCTGTCGATGGTGATCGTTGATAGAGTCGGGAGGATGCCTCTGTTCTTGTTCGGCGGGGTGCTAATGTTCGTCTCGCAGGTGCTTGTGGGAGCAATTATAGCGGCGTAGCTGGGGGACCACGGCGGGATCGGGAAGGGGTACGCGGTAGCTGGGAGCAATTATAGTTTTTTATTTTTTAATGAAGGTAATAATGAGGTGGAAAATATAAAAGTTTATTTTTTTATTTTTAATAATTTTTTTATTGCCACGTCACGTATTTAATGGTCAATTATGAAAGTTGACTGCCACGTAAGCTGGAGTTAACGAAAATAGACGGAGAGTGACCAAACTTGAATCATTTAACTAATTTGAGTGACCAAGACTGGATTTAAATATTTTCACTGACCAAACATGAACGTTTTTTGTAATCTCAGTGACCAACCATGCAATTCACCCATAGCTAAAGCAAATCGGAACCAAGGTGCCCCAAAAGGAATCGATCCTGATTTAGTGGAGTGTATTCAGGATTTGGAGCGGCGACTGATCACTATGGAGCACGACCACCGTGATTGCTATCACGAATTTCGTGATCATGATCGCTGCCCACCGGAAAATGCAATTGCAGAGCTAAGAGGTGTCAAACTGCCTGTATCATCTTTCTCATGCTCTAACAACGTGTCAAGCTACCTAGATTGGGAGAGAAAAGTGATGTTATTATTCTAGTGTGGTAACTACCCTGAATCGTGGAAGGTCCTCCTTGTCACGTACAAATTTACAAACTATGTTCAGCAGTGGTGGGAGCAAATTTGTCTCCGAAGCCGGAGGAATTTGCAGCCAGAAATCGAGACCTAGGCTGACCTGAGAAGCCTCATGAGGAAGCGATTCGTGACAGGTATTACCAGCGCAAATTACACGAATCCCTACAACAAATTCGGCAGGGATCAAGGTCTGTGGAAGACTACTTTTGGGAACTGGAACTGTTATGATGCTAGCAGATTTCAGGGAAGATCGGGAGGCAACAATTACCTAATTTCACGGATTGAACCTAGAAATTGTCTGGAGGTCGAGCTACAATCATGTGTTGAGTTGAACGAGGTTGTGCACCTCGCAATCAAGATAGAGAGGCAGAAAAAGACGATGACAGGTCTAAGGTACTCAACGACACCCAAACTAGTGGCAGAGTCCAATGCTGACTCCAATCCACCTCGAAACAATGCTCCAACCCCTCGAGAATGTTAAGGAGGTATATAATGTTTCAAGGGCCATGGAAGGGGCCATAAAGCAAACCAATGTCCAAATTTGAAGACTCTGGTGGAGAATACCTCTCCGATGAAGAAAATATCTTGATTGAGGACGAAGAAGTTGACGAGAAAATTGAAATTGATGCCCCTAACATAGGAAAACTCGTGGGAGTAATTCGCAGAACCCTTACCGTCGAATATCTTTCATATACTTAGAAGAGGGACAATATGTTTCATTCTCGCTAGACTGTCAATGGAGAATTGCTCTCAATCATCATCCATGGGGGAAGTTGTACAAATATTGTGAGCTCTGATGTGATCAAGAAACTCAGGCTGAGCATAGGCAAACTTCCCAAGCCTTATAATTTACATTGGCTCAACGACATGGTGTGAATAAAGTCAACAAGCAAGCGAATATCAAGTTCGAAATCGGCAAGTACGAAGATGAGCTTTTGTTTGATGTTGCAGCAATGCAAGCAGCCCAGCCTAATCACTTGAATCCGTGCATGTTATTTTTAGTGGTTTGGACGTATCAACAACTATCCCATTCTAGGCCAAGTTTAACCTAGGACGGCATTGTCGTATAGTGGTCATCAAGGTCGTAGTCTACTTGGGTCCTGGTACCCTAGCCTAATTCCCACCTTGTTGTTAATTAGGTAATCGGTTTTTGAGGTTTTGAGTGGATGATATAAGGAAACATTAGCCTAGAGGTTGATCAAAGCTAAAAGCAGGTACTTCGGGGAACTAATCCTCCCCCTAACTTAGGGATACTATGCATGTATAGATACTTAGGGATATCGAATGTGGTGAGTGAGCTCTTTTTCGTGGGCCTTCGTCATTATCCACACGCCTCCCCTAAACCCATGTTTTACTCACCTCGATCTATGCTATTGTATTTGGGGCATTAAACTTATGGCTCATTTCAATGGACACTATCCACCGTCCGCATCGAGTTTTCATTCCGGGTTTCATCTAGGAAGGCTACCTATAGCAGGGGTTTGGTCGGCTCGACCATTATAGGCCCCCATTCACTCATCTAACCTATACTCGCCAGATGACGCATACCCTTCTAACCATAGAACTCCGTATCCAGCGCGGTAGTATAAAGCAGGGTTTGGGGTTTGGAACCCCCTAGTACCTTAGAGGCTAGTTGCCCAAGCGTCATCAATTAAGAAAGAGTGACATTAAGAATCTACTAGGCAAACACATTCATTCATTCAGACCCTAAAATATCCATATATACATAATAAACCCTAAAGGTAGGGTTTGGGATTTAGAACCCCCTAGTACCTTAGAGGACTGCTTTATAAAGTAGTGAAGAAGATACATGGTAGAAATAGAAGAAGACTTGAAGTTGGGGCTACAACAAATTCGGCCTATTATGACGAATTTTTTTTGTCATATTAGATACTCATTTTGTCATATTAGGTATAATATGGCAAGAATTGTTGTCACAAAGGTTTGTCATTTTATCGCTATCAGGATAGGTCAAATGTGACAAAAATTTAAAACAAGGTTGTCACATTTGCTTTCAGTATAGTTGAGGTTCTGGGTAGTCTATTGTGGCAAACAGAGATGTTATGACGATTATTTTGTCATTACGGTTGTCATAATATGGTGATTTTGGGAGAATTGTTCGTCATATTACACGATTATATTTTGTCATAACTGTATATTGTGACGACTACATTTTGTCACAAGTGTTTATTGTGACGACATTATTTTGTCATAACTGAATATTATGATGAATATATTTTGTCATAACTACATATTATGACGAGTATTAGTTGTCGCGAAAGGTTGTTTACTTGTCTCATGTCTAATATGACAAGCGAACAATTTGTCAGGCAATGCACATAATGTGACGAAATGACATTGTTTTCACATTTGACCTGCTTCAAAATTTTCATAATTTGAAATTGTTTCCTGCATTGCAACCTGATAATGGAAAAATTACCCAAGATCCAAAACATTACAACCATTTTCATAACAGTCTAACTAATTGTTCATCATAACCAAACACTCTGACACAAAACATTCTAACTCCTTTGCGGATCTTGGGTTCTCCTTCGGTCATATTTCACCTTTTTCTTCATGACTTTCTAAACAATCTCACGGCCTGATATATGAAAATTCATGTCAAAATGTAAATCATGCTCTCAGTTTCAGGTTCTGAAAGTTCTTTCGTATGAAGAAATTTTACATAAAATGTCTGGAACTTAATATTCTTCGCCTCCATGAAACCCCAATATATATTAATTTCGGTCTCTTTTGAACTAAGATAATTATTGTGACTAGAAGAAACAAAAAACTAGATCTTGATACCTTGCGGAAACCATGTTGTTCCCCTTCGTACTCAACAAGGCCAACTGCAGACCCTTTTTCTTCAATGCCTCATAGATTTTGCGAGCTTGGTCAAGGTTCACTATCTGCATTAGATAGTAACAGATGGAGCATATTCCAAGGGCTCAAAGCTAGGACACAGGTAAAATCTTATATCTCTTGAATAAATGTGTGTTTCTCATAAAGAAATTCGGAAAAGAATCCCTCCAGACAAAAAGGGATATAACACCTCGTTAGACAAGCTTTGGTCCTTCTAGTCTTGTAGTGTGCCTCAAATGTAAAATCCTTCAGCAATTTGCAGTTCCCAAGCGATCTCAAATTGGGAAATAGGCCTTGACCTCTTCGATCATTAACTTATTGCCAGTTCATGACAATTTTGGAGCAAACAAAAAAATTTAGGAAGGAATCTGGCAACACACCTTATCATCCAAGCCTTGGAATCGAATTATAGGACAGGAAAAGTGATCGACAAAGTTGATCGGAGACCTTTCATAGCAATCCTTCTCGTCACCTGCAGCTAGTTGGGAACTTCATTACCCTCAACACAATTAGAAAGCACAATGTGTATTTTCATCAAAAATTATGTTCTATTACCAACAAGATCAATTATCAATATAAGGGGATTCAAACTTGGGAGTCTCTGCTCTTAAGAGGCCTACATCAGCCACCTGTTCACAGAAACACAGGAAGTATATATCAGGTTATAATGAAAGTTATGCTCTTAGTTTAGCATAATGAACTTCATGGATTAAGCAGAGACGTTCTCCCAAATGAATACTTATAGTCAGGTTTCCAAAAAAAATAAATGTGATGTGGCACATAACAGAGTGCAGTTTGCTTGCAGAAATAAAAGGATTACTCACTATTCCTTCTTTCTTGAGAGCAGGTTCCACTTTCTAATATATTAACTTCATAACAATAGCTTTAACTCGACAACTCGACAATTCCACAACAGAACAATACAACCAGGAACTAGGGTTTGCATACTATGGGCAAATCTCAATTCACAATTGGATGAAGAAAACCAATCAAAGCTCAAAACTTTCAATCGCAGACTACAATAAAGAAAGAGCAAACTCGGCAAACAAGAAGCAGATTGGAAGTTCAAGAAATGAAATACTGACAATTCGATCGAGAATACTGAGCGGGCCTTCGAGGGTGCGGATTTGTGCTCGAGTTTCCTCGCACATCTTTTTAATCATCTCGCCCTTTTCCGATAATGCTACCTACTTTCAGTAACGGAACTATAAGGCTGAACACATTATGCCCTGGCCATCCTGGCCACTTCGCTGCTTCTCGTTGCGCGGCTGTGGACGCGGACGCGACCTTGTACTCTAGCTTTTCTCCTCCAGTTTCAATCCCCTGCTTTGCCTCCGGGAGGTGGGAAGAGGATGAGAAGAAACAGAAGAAAACTGACGAACTATGGTGGGGGTGGATCTAGGGATTTTGTGGCTAAGACTACTGAGATGAAGAGCGAGAGAGGGACGAGACGATGGTGGAGAGAGAGAGAGGGGAATTTTGGATACTTTATCTGTGTCTTTCAAA